CTTTGTACTGTCGCAAACGTGTATCAAATCATACCTATCGACAGCAGCAGTCAGAAGTGCAGGGTCGAGGATCGGTAGCCTAGTGTTGAAGACCCGGACGATCTCAAGGAAGCCGATACGGCCGGTATCGCTCGTCCCAGCGGTGCGGCTGGTGCGTGCGTAGTCTAAGAGGTACCAAGTCCTCCTGAAGCTTCGACATACGCTTGGCTCGGTTGTCCTTGTCGTAGTGCACCTCAAGAATGGGGTACTGTGGATGATGATTCCCCATCCTGGTTTAAATTTTAAATAGATATGTTAGAACAAACATTAAGAGTACTATAATATGATGGAACATTAGTGCATAAAAACAAAGTAAATGTAAAAGGAATAAACTATTATGCAAAATTATAGAATAAATATATATCATAATAAATGTAGTTCCAAGGTTCCAATGTACTAACATAGTAGTTTTAAATAGCATATCAAATAATTAACATTAATATAATAAAATGTATGTTATATGCACATGCTGCCCTTATCTTCTATGCTTGCTAGCCTTGTGACCAGGTTCTTTGTAAACGGAGCAAAGATTCCTGCCACGGGTCTCGTTGAAATCTCCCCCTCCGTACATGTCTTCGCCGTATCCTCTCATAGCGTCTATGTCCTCCTTGAGTCGCTTCTTATTCCTCCTACCCTTGTCTACCTTCATTAAATCCGGATGTGACACGTAGTCATAACCATGATAAGGTTGCCACTGTGTCGGGCCAAGATATGACTCGAAGCTCCTCTCCCAAATACTAACGGTGTTCGAACGGATATACAATGGTGACATATATGGTAGATCCTCATAGTTATACCCGTGAACCCTGCAGGCCATGATCATATGAGAGCAAAGGGCATGCATGATCTAAGGGACGTTGCAACTGCACTCTACTTTTTCAAGATCAACTCGGTAGTTTTGTCCACCATAACGTTCGCTGCCCAAGCTTGTGTCACCCTTGCCCCGTACACTAAATATATGGCAGCGGGGTCCATATGGCTCGACGGGGTGCTGCTTGGCCAATTTCTCAGCCTCCTTCAAATATTCTGTTCCGGCCTTTCCAAAACGCCCCTGCTCAGCTATATTGCTCTGCGCAAGTTCCCACCTCTTGACAAAATATTCGTTGCACTTATGAAAGGAGAACTCAATAATTCTAGACACAGGCAACGATCGAACTCCGGTGAATACACGGTTGAAAGACTCCGAGGAGTTAGTGGTCATGATGCCATACCTGAAACCCCCCTCGTCATATGCTAACACCCACTTAGCCTTCTATTCCATCTGCGCCTTTAACCAGACATTTCCCGTTTCATTTAGCATCTTGTCTAGTTCTCTCTTTGTCTCCTTGAACTGGTGCTCTGTACATACACAACATAGAGCCTTTACCTTGTCACATACATCATTCTTCCTCTGATACCGTCATAAATTAGCGGCAAAGTGTCTCATGCACCATCTGTGCACTAGAGGTGAGAACCCATCTATATGCTCAACTGCAGCATTAAGAAGCCCTGGGTGACGATCCAAAATTAAACATATAGTGCGAGATGTGCCAAGCACTTGTACACGCAGAAGCCACATAAACCATGACCACGATTCATTATTCTCTCTCTCTTCCAAAGCAAAAGCTATGGGTACTATCTGGTCCTTAGGATCAACAACAACAGCCATCATCAAGGTGCCCCTGTACTTTCCTGTCAGAAAAGTGCCATCAACAAGTACGACTGGCTGACAAAACTGGAATGCATGTTTCGTTTACCTGAACGACCAGAACACATGATAGAGGACATCCCTCAATGGGTCCCGAAAATACATCCCTCCGGTGTCCACAAACCATTTCAAGCCAGGGTTGTAGTAATGCATTGCACATAAGATGCGGGGCACCCTGTTGTACGCTTCCTCCCAACTATCTCAACGAATCGCTAGGGCAATTTGCTTAGCACGCCAAGTCTTTCCGTACTTCACATCATACTTAACGAATCCAGATATGGACTGTTGTAACGAAGACACCAAAATATCGTTATTGTCATCAACAAGCCCCAATATACGATGGGCAAGGTAACGTGCAGTGAGCTGCTGATGATTTTCTTTCCCCCTATTTGTTAGGCAAGTGTGGGGTTCAACCACTTTACTTATCCTCCACTTGTCATCACTCTGTCTCTTTCGTGAATTTAACCTCTACATACAACCGTTTTTGCATATCACGTGGTACCTCAACTCCTGGTCCGAATGAGTGACGTTGTACGGCCTATGGTGATACATAGTATAGTCTTAAAGGAAGAGCTTCATCTCTGACATTGTATTCAATATCATCCCCTTACTAAGGATTTCTTTCTCATGGTCATACAATGATTTCCTACACATCTGGAGACCGGTGTCACAAACTGTCATATCTGTCATGCTGACATCCCTATAGTTCGGAACGCCCCTGAAAGGTACGTTCATCGACCTTAGTTGCTCAAGCTCAGTCACTATGTAAAGTGGTGGTGGAACATACTGCTACACTTCGCTAATTCTGCCCCATGAATCATAGGGGGTATCATCTGCTAGCAAATCTGTGACTAGTCTACCCTAAGCTTGGATAGCATGCAAAACCTCAGTTGATACTGGTAATGGCATAGCATGAATAGGTACTGGCATGGCATTAACAGATGTGGGCATAGCATGTCTACCTCCCTGGTCATCATCTGAATCATCCGAATCACTGCTAACTACATCACCGATCCTGTCCTCCTCCTCCTCTTCCAGTTCGAACTCATTCACATTGAAGTCATTGCTTATACAGCCTACTTGACTTGAATGAAACTGCTCCTGCATCAATTGACCGTCCAAATCCATGTTATCCTAAGTTGCTTCCCCTTCGACCCCCAATTCTTACTCATTGCCTCCAACACCATCAATAGACGACCCGTCTAGGACACCCTGCATCCTGTATTCATTCTCCACCATCACCTCAGCCATGGGCACATTTGAACCTTAGAGCACCCTATTGTAGCGAGACTAGTGAGCAGGGTCGCGCAAGGGCATCAGGACATAGTGTGCCCTAGTCTTCCCAGTATCAAACCTCCTCTTCAGTGTGAAATCACCATCAAACTTTGCATTCAAACGGACACAAATGTCGTTGAAGCTAGGAGGTTCATCAAACCATTCCAATTCTTCTTCCATATCCTCAAACACAACAATTCATCTACAAAAGCGTTTCAGAAACTTCATCAGGTCATCGAAATCGTCGTGCGTACTAACTGACTACACCTATACTAACTAACTATACTAACTAATCTAATATTAATACCTATACCAACAATTCTAACTAACTATACTAACTAACTACACTAAACACACTAATATTAATACCTATACTTACTATACTAAGTAACTTTACTAACTATACATATCTAGCTATCTGCAAAACTAACTGTAAAACTATACATAACTTATATTTACTAACTTTACTAAATATCTTTGCTAACTAATTATATAAATCTCTATCCAGTCAAACTAAATTTGAATCCTAACCCTAGCAAAAAAAATTGACAGAGATGCAGAAGAACATTACCTCGACAAAGATTATGGGTCACCACAATCCACCAATACAAAGGAGATAGCCGCCGGTGGCAATGGCCGACCGGTAGCGGCCTACTTTTGGAGGGCGGCGGCAATCCCCTCTTCTGGAGGACGACAATGGGCAGTGCAGCAATGTCCTTCATGGCTCGAGACAGTGCGGAGAGATGGAGGGGCGGCGATGAGGACGGGCGGCGCGCGCCAGTGGGGAGATGGAGGGGCGGCGGCGGTAGTAAGTGAGGCAACGAGACAAGGGGAAGATAGAGATAGAGCCAGGGAGGACTGGCACACGGCGGCGGGCGGGAGCACCGGGCGGGGCGCGGCGGGCGTGGCGACCGCGGGCTCGCCGACCGGGCGCGGCCGCGGCGGGCGTGGCGTGGTGGAGGCGCGGCGGGCGCAGCGTGGTGGCGCGGTGTGGTGTGGTGGCACGGCGTGGCGGGTGGGCGCGGCGCGGCGTGGTAGCGCTACGGCGGGCACAGGGCGGCTCAGGGCGTGGCTCCTCTCTCCAACCGGTTCAAACGGGCCGAGTGAGATAGAGAGAGAAAGGGAAGCGAGGCCGGGTACAAGGGGCTGCGGCGCCGTGATGTGTGGCGCGGTAGGTCCGCTGTGCCGTGACGGGTGGCGCGTCATACCTGCCACGTTAGCGGTCGCCGCAGCCGTTGACTGCCCCCTGCCGCGCCTCCATACATGGCACGACAGCTTGAATTAGCCGCGCCGTGCAAACAGGCGTGTCCAAAAGTGTTAGTTTTGAAAAAAAAAATAAATAAACAGTGTTAGTTTTAAAAATAGTTTAAAAAATGTGTTAAAAATAAAAAAAATCTGTGACGTTAATAGTGTGATTCCCAGGATCCACCGATGTATACAAGTTTGATCTGCCAGGATATATGATGCAACATAGAGTAAATAAATGTATTATGAAAGTTTATATCATTTTTAAATTTAATGGTACCTATTTGTTATGATAAATATTATTTTTATATAAATTTAGTCAAACATGGTATACTTTAACAAGACACTGTATTCTAGAGTTATATATATATATATTTGGACGGAAGAGTACAAATGTTACAACTATGGCAACCGGATGAACCAAACACTCCCTGCTCCCTATCAACTCAGGTCTTAGGTGGTTTCAAAAAAAACTCAGGTCTTAGGTACATATTATATAAAATTTTTATTTAAATAAATTAAGTAAATACATTTTTTTGAGAAACAAGTAAATATACAATTATTTTGTTATAAAGATAGAAAAAAAAGAACTGGATGGGCCACTGGATGCGGCCCAAAAGAAAGGGATCGTATTAATAAATCAAGAAGGGTTAAAACATAAAAAGAAGACGCCTCCGAATCCGTCTCTGCCTCTCTCCTCTCGCTCGCTCTCCCCCATCAACCGCACGCCCAGCCGCCGCCGCCGCCGTTCGCCATGGGCATCCTCGACGCGCTATACCGCGTGGTGATGCGCCGCAACGCCGTCTACGTCACCTTCGTCGTCGCCGGCGCCTTCGCGGGCGAGCGGGTGCGCCCTCCCTCCCTCCCCCTCTTCCCCGGCCATCAGATCCCAGATCCCATTCCCTCTCCCCCAAGGGTTGTCTCTTTGATTCCTAATCGGTTGTCTGTCGTTTGCAGGCGGTGGACTACGGCGTTCACAAGATCTGGGAGATGAACAACCTCGGGGTAACATTTCTCCCCCCAGCATCCCTTTCGCGTTGTTGTTCCATTCTTATCGATTGGTTGCAATTGTTCGTCGGCCAATTAGCGAAGGAAATCTAGGTTCTTCTGATGATGATGAAACATCTGTTTGTTGTGATTTGTTCTGGATTAAGGTCGCTTGTGAGAGAATGCCAATTGTTATCTGTGCGCGATTAGGTCGCGTGTTTAGAGTTGCCTGATGATCGCATTTTGTCCTTGTCCCTTTTGGAGTGCGGTCCTCTCCTGTCACCCACCCTGCTGAATCGCTACCCTGGACGGAAGAACACCTGGTTGTGGTTCCCATTTTTCTCAACTAGGATTGTCCTGATGCCACAGGTTTTAGATGTGATGATGCGGCATCGCTTGCCTTTATATATGGGCTTGTCTGTGCAGATGAGTGACTATTTTGTTTAGTAGGTGATGATACTTGGAAGATACTGTGCTCATTTTTCATCTGTGTCAGATTTATCATGACACGGTTTTCCTCGACAAGCACATGCATCTAATCATACTTATTTGGTTCTCAGCAGTCTCATACTGTCTATAGGTTGGTTTATTTTAGTACATCAAAGTGCCACATTTGGTACAGCGAATTAAGCATCTACAGGATGTGTCCTCTTTTGTCATTAGTTATTTAGGTCTCAAACAACCTTGCGGAACTAGCACTGTCACCACCACTTTCATTTATGTGATTTTGTCTCAACATGTGTAGAGCACCTGCTTAACATTATCTTTTAAAGACCCAGGGAAAGAATAGAGTTGAGATTTGCTGGACATGTACATAGTGTTTTGTTGTTCTTGATTTCTCGTTTCTGTAGAGATTTCATCGTGTCGTAATATGTGCAGAATGTGATGTAATAATTGTCGTAATATGTAATAATTTTATGACAAACAATTGGAGTTACTTATTGCCTGACACTCAGTGGAAAATAGTTCAGACGCTATCAAGCAAACTGTGTTACCATTATATTTTACTATGGATGTCCATTTCAAAACATTCCATGTCAATTGCATCTCCACATCACAAGGCAGGTAGTCAGCAATCATGCACGTTTGATGAATTTATGTTGATGTAGAGGAGTTATGTGGTTGCACAAATTAATGAGCAATGCAAAGATTATTGCCAGACCTAGATGAATGTTAACTTGCAATTACATCTGAACTTGTAGCCCTTATTTTTTTGATTAATTAATTGTAATGTGCAACAGGAAAATATTTAGCAGAGTCAAATGCATTGAATTTATATGTCATTTATCAAAAAATATTTTGTGGAGCATATAAAGCTATCTTTGAGCAGATCCCATCCTGGTAAATTGATAAAATATGCATTTACCAGAGTCGAAAATATTTAGCAGGTGCCTCTTTTTAGCTTTGAGTACAATCTAATCTAACAATTATATTACAAGCATTATGCTTTTTTAACAAAGTTATTTGAATAGCTAATGTAAAATGGAGGAACACAGCCACACAGGGTCGTGATCTTGTTCAATTATTGATGGCATATCACTTACTGTAGTATTTATTCTTAGAAGAAAGGATCTGGATTGAGCATTCAAAATAGACACATGTGTCACAGAAAAATGTGGATGTGCTGATTTCTAAATCATCTTTTCAGACTTGACCTGTGTTGGCATAAATCAGAAAGCTGGATTGCTCAATGTTTGGTTTGTGTGTAGTCTAAATTGGCATCTAATAACATATAGTGCATCATATTAGTTTGGTTAGGAGCCTTGCAGAGTTCTTTTTACTAGCAATCAGCCACTGATCGCTGATAGGGTGCATGCCTTCTGGTTCTATGTATGGTGCATAAAAAAAAGTTAGGCTGCACAATTAGATCGCAGTGCAATAAGCTTTTTACCATTAGCTTTTTGAGAGCAAGGAATGGAGCATTGAGATTATCTAGACACGTACATAATTGTGTTTGTTGTCTTGGTTTCCTATTTCTGTAGAGACTTCATCCTGTCCTAATACATGCGTAGTGATATAATAATGTTCTGCCAAACAACTGGGTTTACTTATTGCCTGACAGCGGAAAATAGTATGTTTCAATGTTTCAAACACTACTAGGCCATGTGTTTTACATTTGTGTTTTGCTATTTACATTGATTTCAAAACATTCTATGACAGTTTCATTTCTAGATCACATGGCACATGGGTAGTGATCATGAATATTTTATCTTGGAGTTATTTTGCTGTACAAATTAGTGTGCAAAATGCAAAGATTATTGCTAGACCTGGATAACTTGTAGCCTTGTTTGCTTATTTAATTGATTGTAATGTGCAACAGGAAAGTATTTAGCAGAATCAAATATTCTTAATTTATACAGCATTTATCAATATACCATTCTGAAGTCTGAACAGCATATAAAGATAATCTGGAGTAGAACCCATTAAGACATCATATACAGTGAACATACACTAAGCCTCTTGTTTAGTTTTGAAGTCTGACCTAACAAATATATTAGGAGCATAATGGTTTTTAACAAAGATACTTAAATAGCTAACCTCAATGGAGCAACGCAGGATTTTGGTCTTGTTCAGTGATTGAGTAATTTCTGTTCCACTCTTTATGCCTAATAGAAAGGATCTGGATTGAAAATAGACATATTTGACTGAAATTTTTTTGGTTTTACTGATTTCCAAATCATCTTTATGAACTGTGTTGCATAAATCAGAAAGCAGGATTGCTCAATGTGCTGTTTATGCATAATCCTTTTTTTTTATCTAGTAACATGCAGTACGTCATACTATTTTAGTTGATGAACATTGCAGGCTTTTTGTTGTTTGTAACACCCACTAATTGCTGACAGCATGCATGGCTTCTGTTTCTTTGTACGTTGCATAAATAAAAGTGCACTTACAGTAGACATTTTCTTTTGTGTTTTGATTTGAAACCAAATCAGAAGGTGATCTCAGTGTCAGTTTTTTTCCAGCTGCATATATATAACTAAAGTCGAAAGACCCCTCATTGTTCACTTCAGACATTACACTGTTGTCAATATTGTTCCGGATTCTTGGCTGACGATTTTTTGTTGTATGGAATTGCAGAAAAGGTACGAAGACATACCAGTTTTGGGGCAGAGGCCAGCCGAAGAATGATAAATTTTGGTCGCCATTTAGCTCCGGTTTAACTGTTTCATTTTAGCACAATAATAAGCGATGTAAACTTCTTACCCGGCTCCTGAGAGCTGCTCCTCTCATTCATTTACTCTGAACATGCTGTGTGGGGATTTCGTGGTTGCATGGCTGAAACCTGTTATATAGAGCATGCAAATACAACTAGAGGATTCCTTTGTTATGTTTATTCCCAGTTGCACAAAAATGCGACATCATCCTTATTTTAGTTTTCATCATGACCCGGAGCACGTACGTTGCCCTTTCAAAATGCCTAGTAGGGCAGAAATTGGACTACATGTCACCGCTTCTGTTTAAAGTTGCGACGTACTACACTTTTTATCTTCACTCCGTTTAAAGATAATATATTATGGGTGATTAAAAAGATACGGAAACGCTTAGCCACGGGTGTCCATGGGCTCTAGTCCTGCTTCCTGTGTAGCGGACCAGCCTCTAAAAAGAAAAAAAATCCTCGTGCTTGTGGTGGCATGGCTGAGCGTTTTCGGGCCGCTCATCCGTCCACCCTGCTGCCCCCTTTCCCACCGCGCCACGTCCCCTGTCGTGGTGTCATGTCATGCTCTTTCCCCTATCGTGCCGCACACCCTTCGCCGGTTGCGCTGCGCCCCATCCCCTACGAGCGGACGGCGTTGGATAACTATGGTCGAGCGAGCAGCGTCGTTGGAGTAGCAGCAATAGGCCCGTGCCCCGTGAGCAGGCGTTGGAGAATTGCAGGAGGTCCACGCCGCTGCTACACCAGCGAGCTCCATGCGCCGCCGCCGATCACCGCGCCGCCGTCGAGCTCCGCAACGAGGAGCGCCCATTCGTCCAAGCAGCAAGGTGACATTGTGCTAAAGACGCATGTTGCAAGTGTATATTTCAAGTGTTTCATATGTTTCAGAGGTATGTTGCAACTGTTTCATGGGGATGTTGCAAAAGTAAATCAGAATGTTGCACATGTTTGAATGGGTGTACACGTATGTTGCAAGCTTCTGTTCCCAATGTTTCATCTGTTTTTATGTTGCAAGTGTGTTTATTTGAATATTGCATATGTTTCATACATATGTTACAAGTGTTTTATCTGGATATTGCGTATGTTTTATAATGGTTTTTAAGTGTTTTTGCAATTATTTCAGATGCATGTTTCAAGTGTTTCGTTTGCCTTCAGACGTATGTTGCAAGTGTTGCATCTGGATGTTTCAAAAGTAGATTGTGTATTGCATCTCCCTCGTCACTTTCTGCTGCCTTGCCTCGGTATCTCCTCCTTCCAGCGCTGGCTAGGCATCCGCTGCCCCTCTCTCCATCTTCTCGATGCTAATGACGTTCGGGACGGCGCAGGCCCCGCATGGGCGCGGGAAATGGCTGCAGGCGTGGGCGTCCGGACGTCTGGATGCGTCCAAACGGACGTCCGTCCACTAGCTAAGCGCGAAAAAAATAATATAGATGCGACAAGCTACACTTTTACACACAGATAAAATATTTGCGGCGTATTTCCAAATTTGGAACGTCACATAATCATATCAGAATGATGGCGTAATTTGTGCAGAATTAAATCTAGAAGACTGTTTTCTTAAAAAAACGTCACATAATCAGATCAGAATGATGGTTTAGCGCAATTTGCAGAATTAAATCTAGAAGACTAGATTTTTTTTATTTAAAAAAATGGAAAGAAGACCGGGAATTTCTTGCTGAAAAAAGGAAAGAAGATGGGAATTTCTTGCTGCAAAAGAATAGGAAGAAATCTCGGAGTGGCAGCTAAGCGCGTATCCCATTGTTTTCACTTTCTGTTTTCGTAGATTTTATTTTTCATTCTTTGTTTTCATACACTCGTGTAGTATATCGTCAGTATGAACTGAGTAAACAACTTTCTGTTCTCATACACTCGTGTAGTATATATGAACGAGTGAACAACGTTCCCCTAAGAAAAAAAATATATCTAAGCACATCTAATATGTACCATTAAATTAGGATTATTTAAAAGTAATGACTAATTAATATTAATATCAATAAGCACATCAGTGCTATTCTACACCCTGTGACCGCATATTACTGCCAAACCGCGTTATACATCAGTACAATACCACGAAATATTGAACACTACTGACACGCGACTACTAAATAGCACTGAATTTTATTCAGTATTATATCAGTTTGGTGTAGAATATTATTTCTACACTTAGGGTGTAGAATAACACGTGTGATAAGAAGCATATATAAATTTAAATTTAATTGATTTTTATATAACTAGTGACATGGATTTGAAATGGATAATTATGTCACTTTTAGTTAATACCATATATGACCAATGATATGTAATAATAATATTAATTTAATTTTGGCTAATTATGTTACTTACAATGTAGTTTTTAATAGTCCACATTCAAATTGAAAAGGATGAAACTATTTAAAAGTTATGTCTATGAGTAATTATCTCAAATACTAATGATGCATACAGAATTAATATGATTATTGATTTATAATTCATATTGTTATTTGTTAATATGATTATTGATTAATTATAATTAATAAAATAATTAGTATGACCAACAGTGTAGTTTTATTATTATTTAGTACTCAATTTAATATGAGTATATATACTTATTAAATTTCGATACCTCACTACACAATTTATTGTGTAAAACGATTGGATGGATATGTATAGACAGCAAAGCTAAATGGATATCCGTGTTATATCAGCGCGCATCCGAGGATATTCGGATTCGTAGCCCTATCTGACCAAAAAATATGGTAAATAGTGGCATTTATTTGTATCTCTTCCGTTTCTATTCCTAGTTGTAGCGGACCATGATTTTCCACTCTTCTTTTCACACTCGTGATGAGTATGAACGAGTGAACAATAATGTTCCGCTAGCTAAATAAAATAAAGAGAAGTAAAGATTCGGAACTGTCGTCACACTACAAGCATGCAGCATGACATGCGAAATAATCACACACGTGCCATACAAGTACGTGCATATATGCATGCACGTCTTCTAGACTGTAGCTAGAGTGCATCAGCGACGAACATATATGCATGCACGTCTTCTAGACTGTAGCTAGAGTGCATCAGCGACGAAATCGTCCGTCAACTCCTTCCGTTTCAAATTATAAATTATTTTAACTTTTTGAGAACATCCATTTTGTTATGCATCTAGATATAATAATATGTCTAGATACATATATATATATATATAGCAAAATAAATAAATAAAAGTCAAAACGAATTATAATTTGGAATGAAGAAAGTATATAATACACCTACACTCCGAGCTAACAAACAAATCAAAAGATTATTTGGCCTAGTACCAATAATAAACGGGCCTTAGTACTCCGTAGTAGATAATCAGCCTGTTCACTTATACTAAAATTTGGCTTATACTGATACTTATGTTAAAATGTTATGAGAGAAAATATTGTTCCACAGCTGAAAAGTAACGCTCAAGTGAACAGGGCAAATATAATCTCCAGACTAGTAGAGAATTAATGTGTCAAACAAATCAGCATCGGACTACGTACGTTCGATCGATCTTACCATATATCTATTTGACCGATTATATTATATATAATATAGAGTAGAGTAGGTACGTATATTTGCCACTGAAATACATACATAGATGAATAGATACAGAACCCATCACGATTAATTCACTTGCCGTTTGGCCGTTTGGGAGCACGTACGATACGACGCAAAGTCGGTTGGCGGACGGATCGAGTTGGATCCGGATTCGGGAGTTGATCGGAGCTAGACTCCGAGTCTGCACCACACACAACACCCGATACAATCCACATCCACACACGCTTGCGGCTTGCGGCGCGCGAAACCTCGCTGGCAGCTCTCTCTCCGACGCCCGCCCGCACACAACCCTTGCCCTACTTTTCCGCGCACCGCCATATAAGGCGCCGCACTGCCGACGCCGCCGCTGTCGTCGTTCCAAACCCACACCCACAAGAAGCAAGAAGACCCAACACCCCACCCCACACAAGAAACCCTAGCTAGCTAATCCTCCTCCGGCCTACTCGAGCGAGCGACAGAGCGCGCGGCCGCTCCACCACCCCACTTCGACTCCGATGTCCAATCCCTCGCTGCCGCCAGCGCCAGTCGTACCACCGATGGCCGCCGCCTCCCCCTATCCTCTCCTCCGCCGCCGCGCCCGCGACCCGGACGATGACGATGCCTTAGAGGGCGAACTGCGCGTCGCCGTCCTCGGCGGGCACGAGTCCTCCGACTCCGACACCGAGGACGACGACGACGGGAGGAGCTACCTGTTCCAGCCCCGCGTCGAGTACGACTACGACCCCGAGGTCTTCCGTCGTCCGCAGCACCATCGCTCCCCTCCCGGCCGCCGCCCCCTCAACGCGCTAGACATCCTCCTCTTGGGCCCAGGCGCAGGCGGCGCCCTGCCGTCCCCCACGCCGTCGGGCGAGTGCGAATCCGACGCGACGCTCAGCGACGACGACCACCAAGGCCGCGGCGGCGGCAACCCCACCGCGGTCGGTCGGGGTCGGGGCTGGGCCTGGGCGGCCACCGGCAAGCGAGGATGGAAGGCAGGGGGCAACAAGAACAAGAAGCCTGCCGCGGTGGTTCTTGTGCCTACACCTGTTGTATCTGATCTGAACACGGTCTCCGCCGACGACGGCCAGGCCGGGACCACCACCAGCATCATCTCTCAGGCCGCCCCCGCCACCCACCACCACCGACGGAGCTTGCATGAATGTGTAGGGGGGGCCAATTCAAAGGTACACTGCTACAATATTTACCAATAGTAGGAGAAATTCAAGCTTTGTTTTTTAAGTTCTATCTATATATACCGCCACAATTGAAATTCTGCGCAAGAATGAACAATGTACATATTTACATACTTATGCGATCCACTCGCGCCAACAAATATGGCGGAGATGCGAGCATACATGCAGGCGAATCAGAGTACACGTGCAAGGGGGGGCCAGGACGGCCCCCACATAGCTCGTCCCCGACCCACCACCACCACCAGCGGCCGCCTCTGCCGGAGCAAGCAGCTCAGCCACCGGGCACAAGAACAGCGAAAGCAGGCGACGGAGTACACGTGCAAGGAATGCGGCAAGTCGTACCCGACCAACCAGGCCCTGGGCGGCCACGCCGCCGGGCACAAGAACAAGCAGAGGGAGGCCGAGGCCATAGCGGCCGCCATGGCAGTCGCGGCAGTCGGCGGCGGCGGCACCGGCGCGTCCCTCGCCGCCGCATTTCCTCTGATCCACCGCGGCGGCAAGGCGGACCAGCCGCACGAGTGCCGCATGTGCGGCAAGGTGTTCGCCACGGGGGTGGCGCTCGGCGGTAACATGAGGGTGCACTACACCGGCCCGCCTATCGTGCCCACCAGGAAGAACAAGAAGAGGTGCCTCGCGCCCCCGCCGCCTCCGACGCCCGCGGAGGGAGGCATCGCGGTCGCGGCGGCGCCACCGGAGGCGGCGGTGGGACTCTCGCTCGCGCTGTCGATCAAGGCGGAGGAAAACATCGCGGCGGCGCCCCCGGTGGCGGCGGCAGGACTCTCGCTCGCGCTGTCGATCAAGGCGGAAGAAGAGCCGCCGTCGACGCCGCCTGCTGCGACAGCCGGAGGAGCTGTTAGAGCGGTGCGTCTCTTTGGCATTGATATTAGCCCGCAAGTGCAGCAGGCGCCATTGCAGCAGGGCTCCGGCGGCACGACGGAGGATTCTTCGTCCACCGGTCAGCAACAACATTAGACTGTCATAGTATAGTGCAAGGGAAGGATTTCGTATGGGGTCGCTCCCGTTTCTTAAGGAAGGTTTAAGTTTGTTCGGATAGTTATAGTAATTGGGCATCATTCGGTTCTTGATTTGGTATATGTAGATTGCACGAGAAATTGTAGTATTTTTGATTTGTTATTAGATAGATACCATGCATGCTTAGCAGATATAGATCGAAAGTTCTGATACACATCTTTAGTACTAGTTAGTAACCCAAACCAAGAACCTACTTTGTACTACTGCTCAAGATAGACGAAAGGAACTTTTTCAGATGTAATTCAACTAACTGAATGAGAAGTTGTGCGAGAGGCATACATTTTGCCAAATGCTTATAAGTCGAGCTAACGGCCTAGCGCCCATCTTAAGTCATTTAGCTACAGATTGACTGTAGGAGCTCAAGTGAAAAGTAGTCTCCCCTTCCCTATCTTGTTCTTGTCTGGGTGATTCAAGAACAAACTCATTTGGCGTGTTCGCTGGTTGGTTTCTGGGCTGGTTTGGGCTGGCTGGTGCTGGTTTGTTGTGAGAGAAAAACACTGTTGGCTAGTTGAATAAGCCTAGCGAACATGGTGATTGTCGCCCTCTGGCGTTTCTATTCAGTATTCACGCGTACATACCCAATAAATCAAGCTCCGAGTTTGAACAAGAAACTGATGAAGCATGCATGCATGCCACAACTGTAAGATCGCTACATCAATCGAAGATGACGACTGCAGTGTGCCCTTGTCAAGAGACACGCGCTCTCGCCTTGGGCTGGGCCCGTTCGGTTTGTTCGGTCCATGAGACAAACACGGGAGAAGGGATGGGTAGGTGGGCTGGGCCAAGTTTAGGTGTTGGGTAGGTTTAGGCCCGTCTGGGTTTGAATTTACCCAATCTCAACATATCACATGCAACTGAAAAATTTAGAACGGTTGGCTTAAAAAGACAACTTAAATCACATCACTTGACTTATGTCTGGACTCCGGAGAGGAGAATAATACATAGACAAGTGTGTGGAATTTCATGGCCACATCTTTCACTAGGCGACCGCATCAGGCATGAACGGTCTTGGTTTTTCAGGTCAAGCCACGCTGAACAGACGACAGCAGCAAAAAGGACATAAACGTGAGCCAATAATTGGAACACAGACTAAATAAAGGATAAAGCAATGCAAATTCTTGATGATTGTTTACAGACATCGTCAAGCAGCTTTCAAGTTCACATCAACAATATCCACTGATGGAAACATGCACATCGGAGGATTAATGACACAATAGAAACAAACATAAGATGGGGGCTGAATTAGGTAGATGGATCAAATCCAATTCATTTCCATCACCTAATGTCCTAAAGATCAGCTAGCACACCAGTGAGAAGGAAAATGTCAACAGCAAATCAACCAATGACCAAAACTGCTAGAAGTATAAATAAATACCACTACGTCAGATTTGCACATCACTACCGGCATCATCACTGCCGGATTTGTGAGAACCGGCAGTGATGTACTTTCACTGCCGGTTATAAGCTTGAAAATGAAAAAAATGATTGGTGCTGGGCTAAAACCGGCAGTGAAGGACCACATCACTGCCGGTTTGTGGTTTGAACCGGCAGTGTTTTGGCGGGCACTCATCACTGCCGGTTCAAGCCACAAACCGGCAGTGATTGTGCTCTATCACTGTCGGTTCTAGCCAAGAGCCGATGGTGATAAGCCTACATCATAAAAAGGCTGTAGCCGTCCTCTTCTTTCTCCCCTCTTTCATCCCGAGAACAGAGGCGCGCTTTTGGGCCTTTCCCTCCATTGTTGCGGCTGCTCTTCACCATGAAGCTAGTGCTTGGATATTGAAGAATGGCTTGATCTTTTTGTTTTAAGGTTAGTAACAAACATCCACTCCTTTGATTTTGTTGCTTAATTAGCTTCGTTTGGATGGCTACATTGCTTGATTCTCATTCTAGTTCTTTCTCCATTCTAGAGAGCACTTTTCCAATTGGACATTTGTGTAAGGCTCAAATTGTGGTGAATCCATCATCCAAACGGTAGAGCAGCTGCAGCGGGACATAGCCGAAACTCTCGTTAGGCTTGAGATGCATTTCCCGCCGACTTACTTTGATATCTCATTGCATCTGCTCATTCATCTTGTTGACCAAATTAGAGCCCTTGGCCCAATGTACCTGCATCAGATGTTCCCTTTTGACAGATTGATGAAAGTTTTTAAGAGGTATGTTAGGAACAGATTCAGGCTAGAAGGGGGCATGGTTGAAGGATGGTCAACGGAGGAGGCCATTGAGTTCTGCACATATTATCTGGACATCAAAAGGGTCGGAGTTCTAGAATCTCGTCACGAGGGAAGACTACGTGGCAAAAGAACGGTCAAGGAGAAATCTGTTACAGTAGACGACCTTGTTTCTTTCAGACAAACACAGTTCGCTGTTCTCCAGCAAGCCAAGGGTGTGATGCCATACATTGACGAGCACAGGCAATCGCTGCAAACTCTGTATCAGAGCAAATCACAGGCTTGGCTGGATAAAAAACATGAGGAATTTGTCAGCTGGTTGCGACGTCGCTTGCTTGGAATAAAGTTGGGTAATCAACTGGATGCCTTAGCCAAGGGACCTTCGAGTACATATCTTAAGTACCAAGGGTATGAGATCAATGGATTCACATTTTATACAAAAAAGCAAGATGGAAAGAGCACATACCAAAATTGTGGTGTTCGTTTTGATGCTCACGACGAAAACGGCAACGTGCAGGCGACATACTATGGTTTCATAGAGGAGATATGGGAGCTAGTCTATGGTCCGTTGAAGGCAGCTCTTTTTCGCTGCCAGTGGGTCCGGCTCGAGGAAATCAACACTGACAGCGAAGGGTTCACTACCGTTGATCTCACTAAGACCGCATACAGAGACGACCCCTTCGTCCTTGCAAGAGATGTTATGCAAGTCTTCTATGCAAGGGACAACAAGACAAAAGAAAGGCTAAAAGTAGTCCTAGAAGGGAAAAGGAAGATTGTCGGTGTCGATGGAGTGACGGACGAAGAAAACTACAAGGGCTATCAGGAAATGCCTCCATTCGAGGCGAACGTACCCCTACCTATCCTTCAAGAGAGTGACGAACCTGCTTACGTACGAATTGATCACAATGAGGCCCTCATTGTTGATGCACCTAAAGATAGTTAGATTATTGTTAACTATGTAAGCATTATGCAGACGTTGTATCAGTAATTCGCACTGAATATTTAATTTATATTTTATGCGCATCTCTACAATTTAATTATTGGCTATGTAATCAAATATTAAGATGATGTTCACAAATACTATTATTTGATAATTATAGACCATTAATTCATTATCATAGAATTAAATAATGAAGACACAAATTTTTGTGTTATTTTAGAATATAAACTAACTGCATTATTTCTATTAATAAATAAATAAAGAAAAGCAAACTAAGTGAACTCCCTGTTCTAGCTCAGCGGTTAAGGCCACGCACTCTGTACTCAGACCCGCGCTCGAATCCCAGGTGGACCAAACTTTTTTATATTTTTTACAAAAGGCTGCGATGGCAGGCTCTAAACCGACACTGTTTTTTATATTTTTTACCTAAAGTTGGTGGTAGGCCCTTCACTGCCGGTTTTGGGTTTAAAACCGGCAGTGATATCTTCTATCACAATCGGTTGCTCAAACCAACACAGAAGGCCCAATTCACTGTCGGTTTTAAACTAAAACCGACAGTGATGTGTAGATGCTCCTCACATGCCAATAGTGCTCCCATGACCACAACCGTTGGAACACTGCTCCCACCTACCCCGACAACTTTAGTTTAGAAATAAAAATGTACCACGACTGCTAGCCCCTATAAAATGGCCCTCTGCCAGGAGCTAGCCTCTCCATGCATGTTGGTTTCAGCCAAACCTTATCAGCCATGATACAATGTTTTCCTCTCACAGCAAACCATAGATATCGTTATGCATCATAGTCCACCAAAATGGTGCACACATGAGGTACTAGAAGAATGCTACTGAAGATAGAGCAACGCTAAAGATTGGAGATGCCACGAGGTTCACAGAGCCATCCGCTGTGGTGCGCTCTGGACTGTATGTCCAGAGAGACCTGGTGTGCTCTAGGCAATTTCCTGCCCCGAAGCGGCATTGGTTCATCGGTGCGGTGCCGAGCTGAATCCGATGTGCTCTGGACTGTACCGAGAAAAAGGCCATGGCCTGCAGAGGCATTGATTCATTGATGCCACCTTATCATCTCCAACCGGTATAGCTCGTAGACCACCTCGGTGCTGTTGTTTGACCCTAGTTGGTGCTAGAAGATTGCTACTGAGGTGGTTAATTAAATTATAATGTGTTGATACACATTGATGGTAACATTGACCTGTACGCAAATAGGTCTTTGTTATCGTATATGTAATTTTAGTGTAAGGTCTTTGTTATCGTATATGTAACTTATTTCTATTTTTTTTGTAATTTTTTGATGTATTTCATTACTATCTAAATAAATATATCGTTGTTGTTAAAACGTTCCCACTGTAGTATCTAAATAAATATATCCTTTACATATATGCACCTTCACTGTCGGTTCTATGTAGAAACCGACAGTGATAGTCACTTTCACTGTCGGTTGTATTTAAAAACCGACAGTGATAGCCAACTTCACTGTCGGTTATATTTAAAAACCGGCAGTGATGTCCATACCCCCTATATAAAACAAACTACTAGCCACATACATCGATCCCACCCACCCACGAACTCTCTCAGTCTCATTTCTCACTTTTCACTCTCACTTCTCAAGACATCCACTCTCTCTCTACGTGATTTGGTCATGGCTCCTGCATTTTTCAATTGTATTGATATGTTGTCTTCTCCAATATTCTATCTATATTCATTTGATCTATATTTATATTCATGTTTCTTTGCATTCTACATTTATATATATTCTTATTCCTTGCATTCGATCTATATTTAATTATGTTGCCACATTTTACTTGGAAGAAGTTT